TCCCCTTTGTGTTCTCCTTGCAAGGATATGGGGACTTAGAGGCCTTAATAGATGTATAATACATTTTTGATGAAGGCTTACTCACGGTAATAACAAGTCCTATACGATGGTGTTTGAGATTATTTAAGAAATTAACTCACGCGAGGTGAGAGACCCTGTTGGTGGCTGACGCTACTTGATTCTAGGCAGAATGTTAGGTTAGACATGTGTTTAAGGCAATAACGAGCGTCATGCTCTTTTAGTTGTGGAGAGTGTGTATGACTTAGAGTCTGTTCTTCCTCCCTTTAAGCAGGATGTATTTATAGAGGTCTCTTCAAACCTAAGATTTTTACCCCATTCGTGGTGTTAACCGCTCACCTCTTAATAGAGGAAGATATTGACCATCTATCTTCTAGGAGTATATGGAGACTCTCTCTTCCTTAACCCCATGTTGTGAATGCCTATGAGCGAGTCTCCTAAATTCCGCCTAGGCAACACTGTCGTTAGACAAGACGCCCTATTTTAGGACCCCTGCAAATATAACACTCTGCAACCTATTTACTTTTACTTATTTCAAATGACACAAATAAATATTTTCTTATTTAAAATTAAATAATAATCAATTAACTTAATAGTATTTTCATTAATTATTAAAATATTTAATTAATTCAAATTAAATAATAAATTAAAAATTTAAAGTATTTAATTAATTCAAATTAAATAGTAATCAATTAATTTAGGTTAATACACATTTTACCTCCTACTATTTGGGACAAATTTAAAAAAGAACTCGGTAAAAAAAACATAGATTATGTCCCTATCATTTGAAGAAACTCTTCTTACCACTAAATTGTTATGCTTTAGTTGTTTATGATTCGTATCAAATATATATAATATAAATTAAACTAAATTTAATATAAACTTAGGTGCATGTTGAAATGTTTATGATTTATTTATTTATTTAATATTTAATATTTAACATAAACTAAAATAAATTTTATTCAATTAATCATTTTAAATGTTTTAATAAATTAAATTTTATTTTAATATTTTATTTATAAATTAATATTAATGTTTTAATAAATTAAACTAAATTAATATTAACTTTTGAACTAAACTAGTATTAATATAAACTAAATTAAATTAAACTAATTTTTTTTTAATATTTTAACTAAATTAATATTAATATTAACATTTTAACTAAACTATACTAAATTAATATTAACGTATTTTGATGAAATAAAATAAAATAATTAAGACATTATAAAATATTAATATTAACATTATAATATGTTAATAATATATTTAAATAAATATATTTAATTAAATAAATATGTTAATTAAATATTAACATATATTCAAATATATTATTAAACAATATAGCTAAACATATTCATTAAATGGTATATTTATTTTAACATATATTTATTTAATATTATAAAATGTTAACAATAAAATATTAAAATTATAAAATGTTAATAAGAAACATTAATATTATAATATGTTAATAATAAAATATTAATTATTAAATATTAAAATATATTAAATATTTGGTGTGGGCAAAGGTTTAAATTATAAGACGTTATTAATTTGAAGATATATATTACTTTTAATATATATTAATTTAATTTCAATATATATTTATTTGTTTGCATCAAATATATGTTTTAACATTTATTATTTAAAAAATAAACTAAACTACTAATTTTAATTTTTTAAATATGTTATAATACGTATTTATCATTACTATATAAATAAATATATGTTTTTTAGTTTATAATATTAATATTTTAATTACTATTAAAAAATTAAAATTAAAATTAAATTAATAGTAAATTTTAAATAATTAAATATTAACATTAATATTAAAATTACTAAACTTAAATTTTAATTTTAATTTATGATCAAATATTAACATGTTAATATTAAATTGAAACATTAATATTATCCTTATTAAAACGTTAATATTAATTTAATATGTTAAAACATTATTAAATTATTAATAATTCAATTTATATTTACTTTCAATTCAATATTAAATACAGTTTAACATTTATAAGTTAATATAATTTAGTTGATACTAACAATAAACAACAAAATCATAGCAGTTTAGTGGTAAGGGAAGTTCAATGAAAGAATCTTCGAATAATAGGGATAAAATCTGTGTTTTTTTTACATAGTTCTTTTTTGAATTCTTTCTAATGGCAGGGGTAAAATATGTATTAACCCATTAATTTAATAGTAACTCAATTAAATGTTAATCAACTTATTTTTATTTGATTAATTATATCTAGTATTACATTTTTTGAATTTAATTTTTAAATTTTTGTATATTTTTAAATTTTGTAATATTTTTAATAAACTTATTAATTTAAATTTATGTAATATTTTTAAAGATGAATACTTGACTTAATAATTCAGAATAAATATTTATTTATTTACATATTTCAAATAACACACAAATAAATGCTATTTAATTATTTCAACTAATATTTATTTATATATCATTTGAAATAATTAAATATTTATGTTTTGTTTACAATTCAAATTTTTTAATATTATTACAAATCAAGGAAATTATTTATCACCATGTACATTGTCACATTGGTAAAGGCATAGGATGTGCCTTACAGGTGTCAGGGTTTAATTTCTTCTAAGAAATTGTTTTTGGCTTTTTAAAATATTTTTAAATTTTAATTATTTTAAAATTGAATTGAATTTAAAAGTAAAAATTAATTTAGTATTTAAAAATTAAAAAATAAAATCCAACTTGGCTTTTCACATAATTATTAAAAAGATGCTTGTGTCATAAATATTACAAATGATAATCCAATTGAAGTTTAAAAGTATAAAAAAAAACCATGGTACTAAGAGAGAGATTAATATGGCCTAGTCAAATTTTGTAAGGGATTGAATATGATTTTTTTTTCGAATACTAATTTGGATGCTATAGTTTTTGTGAGGGTTGAAATGGATCTTCACACTTTTTTCAAAAGTATCTTATAAATGATATGATATTAAATTTAAGGTTTCATTCATTATTTTATGTGATTAACAAAATTATTCAATTTATTTCAAATTAAGTTTTTTATTTTCCTCTATTTTGCACTCAAAATGGATGACATGAGATGTATATCTTTTAACATATATATTTTTTTATATGATAATTAGATAGATAAGTAGATAAATAGATAAAGAAAGATTCATAAATTAACTAAAACAAAAACTATAATTAAGTTAAAATTTTTAATTTATATTGATATTATTTGTATATAATTAATAGTCAACTTTGAATATATACTGACATATAACTATTTTTTACATGTTCCTTAAAAAATAGAAATATATAATTTTGACTTAAATTTTATTAAGTTTATATTTTAGTTTTATATATACAAATAATATCAATATAAATTAAAAATTTAATCTTAATTATAATTTTTGTTTTAGTTAATTTATAAATCTCTCTCTCCCTCTAAATTAACGATGAAACGTGAAAAATAATTTTAATATAAATATATATTTTAAATAATATATAAAGAAAATATAAGTAAGTTCAATATATATATATATATATATATATATATATATATATATATATATATATATATATATATATATATATATATATATATATATATATATATATATATATATATATATATATATATATATATATATATATATATATATATATATATATTTGTTTTTAAATAATTGTTTATTTGAAAATATCAAAAATTGTTACTATAAATATAAATAAATATTGCTATCATGGATAAAATTCTAAACCAACAGCTTACGAGTTTGGAAAGACCCTAAAAAGAACTTTTAACTCTTAATCTTTCAACTCATTTTAATTAAAAAATCTGGTTTAGTAATTGTCTTTTAACTTTTAGTTTTTAGTTTTTAAATTAGTTTTTAGCATTTTTTTTTAAAAACTATTTAAAGTAGCTTTTGATCGAGTAGATTTTAACTTATGATTTTTTATTTTAATTATATTTTTATTATTTTAATAATATAATATAGTAAGATAATGAAATCACTAATTTCTTAATTGAAAATATTATTTTAGATCATTTTATAATTATCAGTTAAGATAACAGTTAATTTATCAAACACACAAATTAACTTATTAGATATAAATTATAAACTAGCAGCTACCAACTATTAGCTATCAGTTATAAGTTAGTTTTACTAAATAGAGCCTACTTCTATTTAACAAAATTAAAATATACATACAAGTTGAAGTTGAGCTACCTCACTCATCAATAATATAAATATATATTTTAAATTATATAAAATAATAAATTAATCACTAGAATTTCAAAACTTTCAACGTGTTTTATAAAATTTTAATAAAAAAGAAATAAGAGATAATTTTTTAATTAAATAATTAATACATATTGAAACTTTATAAAACGTTTTTCATTAATTAAGGAACAAAGATATATGAAAAAGTGTATTAAATCACGAACAGAGAAATACAAATAATATGTTTCATTGAATAAACAATATTGAAAGCTATTTAGACTCCATATTGTAAATTAAAACTATGGATTTTTTTTAGTAAAAATAATTTATTAAATGTTATAATAAAATGTTATCTCCATTTATTTTGACTTATTTTGTATATGTACCAAAACAAACAATAAATTTTGTAATTTTAATATAATTTTATTTTTACCATACTACTCTGAACAAATCATTATCTATATTAATTTATTCTGCATTCTGTAATTATTATTGACAAAATAATAATTAATATTATATTAAAAAAAAGCCGATTAAATAGAAATAGTTTTTTTCTACAAATACGACAAGTAAATTGTAACCGCGAGGAAGTAATAATAATTTATTTTTTGTTCTAAATTCAAATAATTTATATCTTAAATTATTTTCTTAATATTTTTTGTGAATATATATATAAAATAATTGGAGTAATAAGAAAAGCATAACAAATATCATTTTTCAGAATTTCATTCTTGCTCATTTCTTTTAGTTTGCTGGTCATCAGTGTCATGGCTAGAGGGAAGGTGAAACTTGCATACATAATGAATAACTCAACTAGGAGAGCAACATTCAGAAAAAGGAAAAATGGTTAGAGATAAGCTTTTCTATAGTTTCAATTAAAACATGTATTATCCATTCATAACATACTTGTTGTTTTAGTTTTTCCAAATAGGTATTTATGGGTATTCCAACAATTTAGTTATTTGTAATGTTATATGTGGGATTAATCCTTGAATGAGTGAGTTTTTTTTTTCTTTTCTAATATATCCTTGAATGAGTGATTTTTGTTTTATATCTTCTTGTTGTTTGTGTCAATTATTTTTTATTATTGTTGTTTTTGTTGTCGTTATTATTATGTAATTTTTTTTTATCTTTACTAGAGATCTTGTTATAGTATTTTTTATAATATAGGGAGCTTTTGATCTTTTGTCTTTAATAAAATAGCAAAACATCACTTTTTTTAAACATTCTTTTTTATTTCCACAACTTAATAAAATTCTTTATTAAAATACATTTTAGTGTGTTATTTTTAAAAAATGATTCAAGTTATTTTCACGATTGTTTTTCAATAATATTGGATTTGTCCATTTTCAAAATTTTAAATAAATTTAAAATTTTAATTGTTTTGAATATAGACGGTTGTTGCAGACACTGAATTAGGCATTTTTCTATTTATTCAAAATAATAGAAGTTATTAATGGTAATAACATTTTTATAAGAAAAATATATATTAAGATTTTTTAGAGCTTTCGACTTTGACGATTCTCTTCAAGAAGTTAAGTTTCACAGCGGCAATAACTTACCGTATTGATGTAAAAAAAAATTTAGTTGTGTTTTAGTACCCCTTTCATAAAAAATTGTTTTGTATTAGTCTTTTTGAGAGATGGTTTTGCCAACTATAACGACGTTGTTTGATTCGAAAGATTAGTCTCTGTTATTTGCATAAATATTCAATTTATATGTAAAAAATTATAATAAAAATAAATAAAATTTCAATTTCAATTTTTTAATGATTCAAATAGAGCATTTAATTATTCTTAACAAATAAAAAAATTTCTCTATGGTTGTGTAAATTTCCAATTTCTCTATCAATTATATATAAATTTTATAAATATATTTTCAACAGGTATTTTAAAGAAGATCAATGAACTTAGCACCCTTTGCGGGATAGATGCATGTGCAATCATCTATGGAGAAAACTATCCTCAGGTAGAGGTTTGGCCATCCGGGGTTGGAGTAAGAAGTGTATTGTACAGGTTCATGAGATTGCCTGAACTTGAACGAAGCAGAAAGATGGTAGATTTAGAAGGCTTCTTGTCTGAGAGCATTATAAAAGCCCAAGATATGTTGAAAAAACAAATCGAGGAAAACCAACAGAAGGAAATGGCTTATCGTATTAGTCAATTTATACATACGGGTGAATATAGCATGGAAAATATGAGTTTGACTGAGATAACTAGCCTAATGACCTTTATTGATAAGAGTCTGAAGGAAGTTGAGCAGAGATTAGATTTAATGGATGTCCATGAACAAGAGAAGGTTACAAATGGTGCTAGAGTTGTTAGCGAAGAAGATATGCTGGCTAATATGGATCATGCTACTAACCAAAGTTTGGAGACGAACATTAACTATGGTATGCATAGTGATGATCGATTTTCTATCAACTTCTCTGAGATAGAATTTAACGATGTTAATTTCAATCCAAATGGATTTGGATCTATCTAGTCCGAAATTTCATTCAAATTTAGGGGTATTTTGGTTATATTTCCAATTTGCGTCTCTCATGTTTCAATTTGTTTAAACTTTTGTCTTGAAAATTTTGTGTGTTTACTTTTGCTCACAATGCATGTTTGTTTTAAACATCTAGTAGTCTTTTTTCTCTATATGTAATGTTTACTTTTATAGTGTTGGTATTCACCAATGAAATTGATATACTCTTTGTTTTTGTGGTTTCAAATTTTGATAAAAGAATATTGTTAGAAAATTGGGAGTACAAATGATACATCAACCTAATAGAAATCAAATGATTATAAGCTAATAAAAGAGCCTCTAATGGAGAAGCAGTTTCCATGAGGTCAAGATTTTTACACAGTCGAGATGTTTTGTTGGCCAACCGATCCTAATGAGATAGTCTATTCACAACCTTGATCAGGTGATTATCGATATACTATGTGATTGTAGGAAACTTTTTTACTGCATTTAAACAGGGTCCTATAGTGGAAGGTTTGTTACATATAATCTTAAACGAATTTCTACATGGAAACCTATGATTATTCTTTGTGATCTAGGTTATCAAGTTAGAATCATAAACATTTATCGATTGGTAGTTGGGTAGTTATAATAAAATTTGTCTTGCTATATAGCACAATCTTATTTCTTTTCTTTTTCTAAAGCTTTTGTTAGGTATTATCTCTAAATTCAAACATCTTTTAATAAATTATTCTTATGGGGAAGAAGTGATGATTAGAGAAATTTTAATTTGGTTAATTGGGATAAAGTGTGTAAACTAATAGAAAATGGGTTTGGACAATAATTTATTGAGGGATTTTTACCACGCCTTTTTATACAAAAATGAAGTGAAAAATTAAAAATAAGAAAGTTGGCCTTGATGGACAAGTGTCTCCAAATACAAGATGGGTGAGGGATATAGGAGCGTGAATTGTGTGGGTTTGCAAAATGATATACAATTAAAAATTCTTTGATAAAGGAAATTGCTTAAAACAATTTTGTAAACCAAACATAGAATAGATAATAGAATAAGTAACCAAAACAAAATTCCAAAAAGGAAAAGATAAAAACACAACAAGAATAAATGAATAGCGGAAATATAAAGAGATAAGGATTGTGAGAATTGTACCAAAGATTTATAGAGGTTTAACCTAATCACTCAACCTACTCATCTCCTCAAGAACGTCTTCTTGAGAGTTTTCACTATTGATGTGAGCTTTCCACTGATTATGTCCATAAATATTCTTATAATTAAACTTGAGTTTTACAATGGCTATCCTCTAAACCTAACTCGAGAATTTACATCATGGTGATCACAAAATCAAGAAAGAGCTTTTACAATGGGAGAAGCTCACAAACTAAACAAAGATTTTGATAGATAATCTTACAAATCAAATGAGATCTTGTATTGGCTAAGCTCATAAGCCAAACAACAACTTCTCATAAGAGATTAATTCCTCTAGCATAAATTACAACAATACCCCAATACCAAAAAAAATGTCTTGCTGATATTTTTCACTGTCAAAACACTAAGGATATTTTGTTAAAAATAAATAAAAGACATTGTACCTACAAGCACACAAATCCATATTTTTTCCCATTTAATTTTTCTTAAAATATTAAGGTCGTACTCAATTAAGCCAATAGGGTTTACCGATTATAATGCCCGAAATTTAAATTTCAAAAAGCTCCTAATTGATTAGACATTTATGATAATCGATTATGTAGCTCTTTTCAGCTTTCTTAAACTTTTGGGCCTAGGATGACATTGAGCTTGTCTCTTCTTTCATTTTGCACCCGTTTCTTATCAAGATTGCACCTCTTTACTAAATATCACACTTTTGCATGGCAACCTCACTTAAAATTAAAATTTATCTCAAAAAAAAGTTAGATATAATAAAATAAATTTTTTGAACATGTATAAGATCACTTGGTAAAAGATTTAATCAAAGTTTTCCGATCTAATCTATATCAAGTGTTTTACCATAAAATGTCTCAAAATATCTTAATAGAAACTCACCCATTAAAGGGATATGCATCACACCTTCAAATCAAAAAATTTTGATCAACCTTATCAAGGGTGATAAGATCATCACAACACCTTTAACAAGGTCTTCCATGAAGTTCCACGTTCTTTAGTATCATTAGAGCCAAAATATTTTGTTGGATTACAGACCATCAAAACCACCACACACTATCTTAATTAAACATCAGATCCACATTTCTCAACTTCTTTAAATTTGAACTCTGTTCCTTTAAAACTGCAAAGTATTCATGCAAAACAAATTAGTTTTTCACCTTTAGTACCAGAATATTTTTGGCTTTTGATGCGTTAGTTACTTTAAGAGGTCTAAAATGATTTTCTTTAGAACATATTTGTTATGAAATTGATGTCGTTAATAAAAGAACAAAGTTATGAGATAAAGATCGAGTTTCTTGAACAAACACAAGAAACCATATTAGGTTTTATAAAGGAAAAAAGAAGGAGGAAGAAGAATAAAGAATTGGTTAAATCTGTTTTACTACGCTCGAAGTAAACCTCGCAAAAAAAGGGAAAGGTATGGTCATCGCAACCAAAACCTGGATTCGGGAGTCGGTTACGCAAGGGGAAGGTATTAGCACCCCTCACGTCCATCGTACTCGATGGGATCCACGCTTGGTGTTTATAAGGAAAAAGGTGTGTTTATCTATCTACGCTAATGGTCAGTCTGAAAAGAAAAGAAAAGGACAGGACTCGACAGAACATACGGTGTTCTGGGCCTACGTACTCCCTCGTGCAATGGGAAAGTCAGAGTCAACGTAGTTCGACTACCCACGTCTAGACGGGGGAAGGTTGCTCGCCAGGACATCACATCCTGTGCCTACGTACTTCCACACGGCATGGAAGATCAGAGCAAACGTAGTTCGACTAACTACGGCTAAACTGGGCGTTCTCACACAGCAGTGAGAAAATAAATTTGGTTTTAAAGGTTCGGGAACCTACAACTACGGTCTGGTCTCAAATGCACTCGGGCAAGAGAAAAGGGATAACATCAGGCGTCAGCGGGAAAGTCTCGATCGCACAGCCGCGAGAGAACAAAAGGTTAGTTGTTAGTGTGCTCGCTAGGATATCGCATCCTATGCCTACATATTCTCGTCTGATACGAGAAATCAGAGCAGTTGTAGTTCGGCTAACTACGACACAAGCTACTCAAGTGCTTTCCTATTGAAAGGAAAGAGACACCCTAAAACTATGGTTGAAAAGGGGAATCTACCTACTGTTATCATGCCTGGGTTAAGACCTAGTGTCTATCATAACCCCTCCGCAGCGGAGAAGTTAGAGCTCCTAAGGGATCATGGCAACAGGACTAAACAGCAAACAGGAATCAATTGCAAAGTAAAGAAATACTGGAAATATGCATGAATGCAACAACCAAACAAACAAGGCACAAAGGTCGCAAACCACAGAGGTAAGGGAGCTCAGCTCTACCAAATACCAGCAAGCAAAGCCATTCAATAACAAACAAGCAGAAGGAGGACCACCTCAACTTCTCATGCACACAAAGCCTACTTCTAAGATGCACCTACCTCAGAAATATCTAGATGAACCCCTAAGTCTAATGCAGCACAACACCACACAAGTCAAACAACACAAAGAGAAGGCGAACCAGCCTGACAAACCCCTATCCAAAACTTAAACCAAAACCCTGAGCAGGACCCCTAAACAAAACCCTACACACAAAGGAAATCAATCCCAGTCTTCAATCTTTAAAACAAGCTTACCAAAGAAAGGGAGCTAAGCAGACAAACCCATAGTGCCTTCCTCAGGAAAGTACCAGGAGGTTACCACTCAGGAATCGTATCCTATGCGGCTCAACAACTGTGAACGGTTTACATTCCTCCTTAGGAGCAACTAAACTCACATGAAAGCTCCGACATCATTGGATACTTAAGAAATCCTAGATGAACTAAAGGAACTAAGTGAACAGGCCCATAGTGCCTTCCTCGGGAAAGTACTAGGAGGCTTCCACTTAGGAATCATATCCCATGTGGCTCAACAACTATGAACGGTTTACATTCCTCCTCAGGAGAAACTAAACTCACATGAAGGCTCCGACATCATTGGATACTTAATAAATCCTAGATGAACTAAGGGAACTAAGTGAACAGGCCCATAGTGCCTTCCTCGGGAAAGTACTAGGAGGCTTCCACTTAAGAATCATATCCCATGTGGCTCAACAACTGTGATCGGTTTACATTCCTCCTCAGGAGAAACTAAACTCACATGAAGGCTCCAACATCATTGGATACTTAAGAAAGAGGTGAGAAGAAAGAATGAAAGGCATCCATAGTACCTTCCTCAGGAAAGTACCATAAATTTCCCTCAAACTTCGGGATCTCAAACCTCACAAACAGAGAACAAGCTCCTAGACTAGGACCTCAATCCATGCATCCTTGCAAGCTCCATCAAGACTTCATCCAGCTTCCACCTTCAAGAAGAAACCACATACCCTCAAACCACAAGAAACTATCTCTGAAGTTCAATCACAGTTGAACTTCAAAGTCAGAAGCCCTCAAGACTTCTCCTATTCTCAGGCTCAAACAAAAATAACAGAACACCCTATAACAATCTACCAAAAATCTAGGGGAAACCTACATGGCTCTATGATCCCAAGATCAAATCTCAAAGCCTAAGTCAACTTCTAAGGCTACTAAACAATCCCTAATATATGAATGGTCAAGGGTTAACCAGCAAGTTATGAGGTCTCTATTCCCTAACCCTAAAACAATATCAATCAATCTCTAAAAAAATCCACTAAAATCCTAAGGGGAACATGCATTAGTCTAGTACAACATACTAAAAAACTAGAGCAAAATTCAATACCAAGTGAAAGAAATAAAATCAGCAAGGCAGACACATCACAAACCAATTTATTCAGTATCAATTAAAATAAAAAAATGCAAATAAAAATGAAAATGCATGATCAAATTAATATTTTTGCATTATAAAATTCTAA